ATAGTTTTAGTTTTATTCACTTAAGTTATAAGTATCTGTGATCATATTAGAAAAATAAGCATAATTAGCTTTCTACTGGTTTAGTATGACAAATATAGACCACTAAACCCAGAATAAAGAATTTAAACAATGGAATACAACTGGAGGTCAAATGAGGATGAATATTAGAGGAGAAAGAGAATACCATCTGCTACCAGATTGGGGGCAGGAAAAGGAATTTGTAGATGGATATTTTGGAAGTGGGTAGTATGAGTAATGATTATATCCAAAGTGTTCTCATCTGTGGGTAGCTCAGATGAAGGTCATTGTATTTGAGAATTTATAGGATTATGAAACTAAGTTGTCAAGTCAAAGAAATTGTGATAGCAAATAGAGTACACTCAAAAGAAAACCAAATGAAAAGAAGAAATAGTTGTTCCTCCCATTGCATGCATGTGTCCTGTTTTTTAGCATGAAGATCTTTCAGTCACTGTTTGTATACTATCTTAACAAAAAGCAACATTAAATGAATGTCTTTTTCAAATCCTTCCCTTTATTTTTGGAAAGAAAATTTTAAAAAAATTCCTATTCTGCTCTACTGTGAAACCACTGTTTAATTAGTATATTCAGTTCAGTTCAGTCACTCAGTCGTGTCCGACTCTTTGCGACCCCATGGACTGCAGCACACCAGGCTTCCCTGTCTATCACCAACTCCCAGAGCTTACTCAAACTCATGTCCATTGTGTCAGTGATGCCATCCAACCATCTAATCCTCTGTCATCCTCTTCTCCTCCTGCCTTCAATCTTTCCTATTAGCATTTCATAAATCCCATATATATAATATATATTCACACATTATTATTATTGTACAGTTTCTTTTTTGAAATTGATGTTTGTCTATGTTGACCAGAAAGTGGGATAGAGCTATAATTCTGTTTTGAAATATTTTAGAAAGGCATAGTTTTATTGCAGTCATGAATCTCCTTGGATTTTTAAGGAGGCTTCTTCAAAGGATGTCATTAATAATCTTCTCAGGTGCTTACAAAGTATGTGTCTGTCAGCAGAATTAGAGAATCACCCAACTAGAGAACAGGTTTCACAATACCCTGAGACCTATTTTGTTCATTAGAGAGGAAAATGGCTTGTTTTAAGTCTAAATTGACATGCTTGCTAATTTCATCAGTAAAAGCTGTTCATTGTGGTCAGGTTTAATTTAGAGCCTGGTAAGGTTCAGATTAGAGTTGATCAAGTTACTTCTACAACAGACTTCTTAAACGAACTTTGTAATCCTAAAAGAAAGGAAAAATCATAGCCATCCTTGGGGTTATGTATCCAGAATTTAAACACAAAGAATGGCCTGATTGTTTGAGGCTGGGTTAATATGAAATCAAAGGGAAATGACAATAAAGATCATCTTTGCTATATAAAAATTTCCAAGTGTCAAAAAACACAATTTTTTTACTTAAATTGCATAAAGTATGCCTAATGTATTCATTTACTACTATGTCCATAAGACCTGAAACAGTGCCTAGCATTTGATATTTATAAAATGAAAGAATGAGTCAGTAAATAAATGAATGTATGTAGTTTGCTAGCTCTGTGCATTTAGAGGGGAAGATTTGAATTTATGGTTTCTGGGTAAGTCTATTTTTCAAAAATCTATTATTGAGTGTATTATACATTTAAGAGTTAGAAATTCCAAAGTAACTTTTTGGCTTGCTGTGTCACAGATGACCAGAGTGTAACAGTCTAACCCTGGAAAACATCTTTCGTAAAATCTGTCTGTGACTATATGGTTCCTACTTTAGAATTTGTTCAGGACTCTCCAACTGACTTATGCCACTTACTTCAATAGCTGTCTTTGGCAATTTGTTCCATATTTCAAACACACTTTTGTGTAAAGAAACCATAAAAGTTAGAAACCTGAAAATTGGATTTTTCTTCTGAGTAATCGCAGCTTACAAATGTGGAAAATTTGTTAAAAGTTAACCCCTTCAATTTTTCAATACAGAGAGGGGAAAAATGCTCAAAATAGATGGGCAATGTTTGTGTAAGTTCTTCCCATTATTTTGATAGCACTAAAAGCAATTGAGCTCAAATCACAGGCCTATTTCCTACCTCTTCACAAGAGAAACACTATAGAATGATCAAAACTTGGCCTTTCTAAATACAAAAGTCTTTAGAAAATCAGCACCAAAGGGCATAGTAGATAACTAATGTCCATGAACTTTACCATCTACCACATTTCACCTCTTGACTTTCATTGGCCTCATGTGGTAGTAGAAAGAGCATAAGATTTAAAACCATGAAGACTTCTGGCTTAGTTTTTTAGTGTGGTTATTAGGAGAATAAAAATGAGGAAATGTGTGTAAAACATCTGTCACATAGCAATTTTAAAGTAATGCAAACCAATAAAATGTATTCAGTTTTAGTACAAGGACAAAGGAGATACCTTACTTTTTCCCAAACTTCTTTGAAAATATCACTGGGGTTTTGGCCCTTCGTATAGAGAGAATAGATGACAGAGGCAATAAATGGACACTTGGGGGAAGGAGAACATTGCTACCTATAAAGTATATATTGTATGGTCAGGCTACTCAAGATGGCTGTCTTCTTGCTCTCTATACGTCTCTGATTGACCAGTGCCTGCTTCACTTCTACCCTCTGCACATGACTGACTTCCTATGTGCAGTACCTGGCACAGGCCCTGACTGGTGATCATGTTTATCAAAGAGGCAGTGAGGTGCGTACCCTCTACTGGTTTCCCTGATAACTAATGATCCCGTCTGATATCATTTCTCCTGTAACTAGCCATCCCTCCTCCCCTCCCCCAATGAAGATTACCCCCACTTGCTACCCACCCTCTGCTGTACATGGTGGGGTGTCACCCCAGAACCTTGCTTCAGACGTGTAAGCTCCCCCATCCATTAGACCACTGATGTCTCTGTCGCTGACTCTGGGCTCTTTTTTTTCAGTCATGAAGTTGAGCAAGTGCAGGCTTTGTGGGTCTGCAGGGTGCAGCCCAACATATATATATACTGCTAAGTCGCTTTAGTCGTGTCCGACTCTGTGTGACCCCCATAGATGGCAGCCCACCAGGCTCCGCCGTCCCTAGGATTCTCCAGGCAAGAACACTGGAGTGGGTTGCCATTTCCTTCTCCAATGCATGAAAGTGAAAAGTGAAAGTGAAGTCGCTCAGTTCATTTGAATCAGTTCTAATGAGATGGATGAAACTGGAGAAAGAGTTTTAGAAGATCAAAAGAAGAAAGTTGCTTTGGAAAAGATGGAATAATATATATAAATAGAATTAAACAAATATTTGAGAAAACCTTTATGTGAGTGATAATACAAAAAGCAAGGTAATTTATGTAAGCTATTTCAATATTTACTCTAACCTTAGGAGGTGGGTTTTATTATAGAGACAGAAAACTGAAGCTCAGAGAGCTTAAGAAACATGCCTACGGTCCTAGTAAGATGTAATGTGAGGGACTAGGATTTAAACCGATGCCTATATAATTCTGAAACCTAAGGCACATCAAATAGTAAAGGCTTGCTAGTCAAAAAATACAAAGAAATATTTACTTGAGAACTTAAAATATTAGGAGTAACCTCAGTTTTCTATAATCTGTATATAGTGTTTTACTTCTCCCATTTATATTGTTCTCTTCTATGCATTTACATGTCTAATTATAGGATTGTCACTTACACATCTTGGAAATGTACACAGTACTAGTTGTTCAATGTTGACCAAGTAGATTCACTTCTCTAAGCCATGGTTCTGACATCTGTCATGTGGGGTTAATAATAATACTTAAGCTAGTAGGGTGATTATAAAGATAAAATTATGTGATGTTTCTCAAGTGAAGACCTGGCATATACTAGATGCTCATTAAATGGTAGATACGATCAAGATGAGATGAATTTGATGCAGAAAAACTGGACCTGGGAGAATATGTAGGGGAAATCATAAGTGAAAGTGAAAGTTGCTCAGACCTGCCCCACTCTTTGCAACCCCATGGAATTCTCCAGGCCAGAATATGGAATGAGTAGTCTTTCGCTTCTCCAGGGGATCTTCCCAACCCAGGGATCAAACCGAGGGTTCCCACATTGTGGGCTGATGGATTCTTTACCAACTGAGCCACAAGCGAAGCACAAGGATCCTGGAGTGGGAAGCCTATCCCTTCTCTTGGACATCTTCCTGACCCAGGAATCAAACTGGGGTCTCCTGCATTGCAGGTGGATTCTTTACCAGCTGGGCCACAGGAGAAGCCCATATATATATGCCTTCATTCTCTTTGGTACTTTTTTAAAAGCAGTATTAAAGTCAGTTTTAATACAAAATACAAATACTAACTTCTAGTCTGATGCTTTCTAAGCTTGCCTGATCATGAGCATTAGAAAATTTGTTTAAAATGTTGATTTGTAGCCCTCCTCATCCCATCTAATTCATTCACTCTAAAGTGAGGCAAAAGAATCAGTTGAATCTTACTAGAGTCAATTTTGGGAAAAGATTAATTTAGCTCATCTACATCATCTTCTCATTTTATAGGTGAGAAATTTTAAGCACAAAGAAGTTAAATAAGTTCTCTCTCTTAAAACACTTCTCTGTCTTTTCTGTTTCTAAAACATACACCTCAATTTTGACACTGCACAACATGAGATTACAAGTATAAATAGCCATCAGTGTCTTAAATACATTTTTATAATTCAGAATTACATTGGTTACTCGTGGCACTCATATTGGTGTACGTAAACCCAGGAACACTGAAATGACTCCATCTAAGCTCTTAACTAGTGAAGCAAACCCATAATCAAGATTTTCACTTGAAATATTTTTGGTATCGAAAAATGAAACACATATCTTGTTAAATTGCTTTCTGTAAAGCCTAACACATTAGAGATTTATATCTAATAACATCTTGTTTTATTTCTAACAGTGCCTTGGTTGGTTTTTGAAAATTACCCATAAAAGGAATGAGCAGTGCTGAAGGAACTCAGTATTGTTCCATTTGTTCCTTCAGGCAACACTGCAGGACTTGGACCAGAGGCGCCCCCAATTGGAAGAACTCATTACTGCTGCCCAGAATTTGAAAAACAAGACCAGCAATCAAGAGGCCAGGACCGTCATTACTGATCGAAGTAAGTCTTTCTTTAAACAGGCATGTGAAACTTAGCGAAAGATGTATGAAAATCTTCCATGATGACTTAAGTTCATACACCTCCGTTACGTTTATAAAAATATTGCGACTATTGTAACTAAGGTTTTTCAGCCCATGTTATCTTTCAATAACCAAATGTAATTCCAGGAAATAGATAAAAGATAAAATTTGTCAATCCAGATTTATGTCGTTGCAAAGCATGGAGTGGCAAGCATGGGTGTGGCATAACACCCCCTCCTCCTCAGTTGTCATGTATCTGGGCTGGCATCCATGGAGATGCCATTCTCTCCCCATGTCCTTGGTTGTTGGTTCAAGCAGGCAGTTTCTTCCAGGACCATTATTTTCTTTCCTGTCTGCAGTGGCACTTTCAGATCTGGACGTCGCTCGGTTGCCCTCATTGTGTAGTATCAGAGATCTTTGTACCATTCTTCATGCCACATTGCGGGGGAGGCAGTGGGAACTTTGAGAGTTTCTTTAAGGCCTACCTGACTAGACATTGCACATACTCTCTTTACACAGGATGCTTCAGACTGACTGTGCATGGGGTCAGAAAGAGGGCTAGAGAGGAGATAGAGTAACGGAAACTGTTCTCCATCATATTTTTCTCAAAGGCTCTTCTTAGAAAAAAGGCCGAGGTCACCACAGCTAGTAAAGTCTCTTGGATCTCCCTGGGTTTCCACCCTTCCTTCCCCCTGTCTTCCCTCCAGGAATACATACTGATACTAAATTTTCTTCCTCTGCAATGTCCCCTTATGTCCCTCCCCACATCCGGAGGAGTGTTTTCTAGTTCAGGAGGAGGGAAAAACCTTTGTTTAATCATTCTTTTTTCCTTCCAAAGTTTTGTCTTACACCAGGCCTAGGCTTTTGAAATTAAAAACCAAGAGTCTATGTCTTCATAATATACATTCTGTTGTGTCAACACTTGCCTAAGGAAGTAGAAAGCAGGGTGTCTGGCAGCCTGTATATTGGGGGAGGGGAAAGAGTAACGAGAATCAAAAGTTCTGGTTAATATTTTGAAAGAAACATTTAATATTCAGAAAATATTACTCATGCTTGCATTTATTAGGTAAATAGTGTTAATAGCTATTATTTTGTTGAATACCTCCCAGGTATCAGGCAGTATATGAGGTGTGTCTGTGTATGTATAACATCTTTACAAAATCCTGTTGGCTAAATTTCATAATCCCCATTTTATAGATGAGGAAATGGTTTCAGAGAATAATTAATCAAATTGTTCACGCTAACAAAACAAGCAAAGAGCAGATCTTGGAATTTGCAAATGTCTCTTTCTGGCTTAGAAGTGTGTTCCTTTTAAAATGTTTACCACTTCTCATCTTGTTTTGGTTAATGACCTTAATCACTAGGACTAGGACTAAAGGCTATTTCAATATGCAATTATGGATGTTTAGATTCACTTCCTGAAGACACTTCCTCTTTGAGTTGTAGTGAATATTAATTAATTAAAATAGACTCTTCTTGATTTTGAAATTTTAACTCTTTATTGTTGATCAAGCAATGTATTTGGATATATGCTGATGTATTATTAGGCGTCAGTAGCCACTACAACAGGCTCCCCAGGTGGCTCAGCAGTAAAGAATCCGCCTGCCAAGCAGGTGATGGTGGTTCTATCCCTGGGTCAGAAAGATCACCTGGAGAAGGAAATGACAACTCAATCCAGTATTCTGGCCTGGGAAATCCTGCGGATAGAGGAGCCTGGTGGGCTACCGTCCATAGGGTTGCAAAGAGTAGGACATGACTTAGGGATTAACCAGCAGCAGCCACTACAGCAAGTAAAGTAAATCTTAGTAGTTTAGAACAGTAGAAGTTGACTTTTTATTCTGGTATATTCCACAGTAAGCAGCCCATAATAAAGTTATTCAGGGACCCAAGCCCCTTCTAACATAGAACATCAAAGTGTTATGCGTTTGATCGGGCAGGTGAGGAACCATTATTGACCATTGGAATTTGCTATGAGCCATGCCTGGAAGTCATACACATGACTTTCTTCATAATCTGTTGGCTGGAACTTGTCACATGGCCACATCTAACTGCAAGGGAAACTGGAAAATATTATCCAATGTTGAGTCCAGGAAAAAGAGCAATTAATGTGGTAAGAAAGTAGTCAGTCTCTTTCACAGCTAGTTTGGATAGGAAGAATGCACTTAAGTTCTATAATTATGTGTAATGTATAGGATGTCATTTCTATAACCAGCCATACAAAAGCAAAATTGCCCTGTAATGACCAACATAGATAGCTGTCCAACTGATAGAGTGTTCCTCCCTTATAGTGAAACCACGAGGCTTCCCTCACCAGGCTGAGACACACAGGCCCAAAAGAGTGAATCTTAGTGAATGAGTTATGAGACTGAGATCCCCACTACAAAGTTAAGTACTCTGTTTCTTGCCTGAGAAATATGGAAACTTGGCTAAGATGTTTATGAAAATCTGAAAACACTATACAGAAAGTCATTTGTTATTTTCCTAATGAAAAATAACTTCATTTTTCTCCCTAAAAGGAAAATAACACTAATCTATTTTACAGTATCCATTCAACTTTGTCTAAACAGTTTCCATTATCCCTTGCAATCTTTTTTAGATCTTGTATTGATGCTTTTTCATGATGTAGATTAACACTGAGTGACTGGAGGGCAGGTTTGTGTATCTCTGCTAATATCTAGTGATTTGAATAGTTCTGCTTTTCTAAGCTTTTGTCTTTTAGAAATGAATACCTTTATGAATATTTTCAACATAGTGGAAAGATTCCAACCCAAATGGTCCAATAAAGCATTTTCTTAAAAGCAAGTGCCTGTTGAGACTTGCCATATTGCTTATTAAGAGCCTAAACCAGAATCTTAGTTCTAAATATGCCTGGAGCCTCTATTGCTGTACCAGGATAATTCTGACAAGATATGTTTATCTAAACAATGTCATTTGCAGCCCTGCTATACTTCAGTTTATCTCTCCATTTGAAATCAATAAAATGGGATGGAAATTCAATACTCATAAAGTTTCAATCGTGTTCAAAATAGAATTTTTCTTGGTATAGATTTGGTTTTCAGGGAACGTGTAGAAATAAAATACTTGCTCATAAAAGTGTATTTTCTTATTTGAATATTTCACTATTCCCTTTTTATTGCCCTGAAGCTTCTAGAAATACTTAAAAAGGAATCAGCTAAGTAAAGAAAAATATTCAATAAGTATATAATACTATATTGAAACATGCGACCCTCCTTGGTAAATCCAAGTTCATAACTTTGAACAGTTGGGGAAATCTATACATAGTTATTACATTCTGTCAGGAGAAAAGTCCAGTAAAAAGCAATTCTTCTCTCCTGGTAATACCCATGCAAAAATCTCAAGTAATTGGGTCTGCATAATACTGGCCATGTTTCACTCTATAAAACTGTTTCCATGGTATCTGTTGTTTTCAGGTGATTATATTGATGGAAATCATGTTGTAATAATCAAGGTGAAAGAGTAAATTTCATTCTAAGAGCATTCAGGTGAAAAATTCCCCTCACTCTGTCTGATGTTCAAACTGCTCATTTTCCATGACTCCTTTGGTTGCTGAATGTGTCAACCATTCCTGGTCATTTTCTTCTGCAGAAGCGCTAGGTCAGGAGACCAAAAACAGATAAGAAGGATCTAAAATTGCTCCCTTGGAGGTTTCTGAATTATGCAAAACTCGTGTTGATATCTGTTACTACTGCAAATCTTAGTACCATAATACCTCTCATAACAATGAGGAAGATATGGAAAAAAAGAACTGCTCTTTTACTGTTCTGTTTACTCTTCAAATAATATTGATGAACATGGTTTATCTGACATTTGTATTTGAGAACTTTGCTTTTATACTTCTCCCTCCATAACCCCCACCATTGCCATTTTAAAGATCTATGGCAGCGGTCCCCAACCTATGTGGTACCAGGGACCAGTTTCGTGGAAGACAGTTTTTCCACGGACATTGCTGGGTGGGATGGTTTCAGGATGATTCAAGTGCATTACATTTATTGTACTCTCTATTTCTATTATTATTATCTCAGCTCCACCTCAGATCATCAGACATTAGGTTCTGGAGGTTAGGGACCTGTGATCTATGGCAATAGCACATCCAGGTATTAAGGGCAAGCTGCCTGGACTGGTGACTTACTACCTTTGTGACCCTGAACAAACAACTAATCTCAGTAAACTATCTGATCTGTTTTCTCCTCTATAAAATAAGATTACTTCTGTCTACTTCAAGGTTAGGAGAATTAAGTGAGGTATTACATGAAGAGCAGTTCAGTTCAGTTCAGTCACTCAATCGTGTCCAACTCTTTGTGACCGCATGAATCGCAGCACACCGAGGCCTCCCTGTCCATCACCAACTCCCGGAGTTTACTCAAACTCATGTCCATCATGATCTTAGTTTTCTGAATGTTGAGCTTTAAGCCAACTTTTTCACTCTCCTCTCCCACTTTCATCAGGAGGCTTTTTAGTTCTTCACTTTCTGCCATAAGGGTGGTGTCATCTGATCTGAGGTTATTGATATGAAGAGCACTTATATCCTAAACATAGTAAGAGCTCAGTGAATGCTATCTCTTGTTTTAATTATAATCTGATCCAGTTGTTTGAATGCTTAAGGGAAAACATTTAAAGTATTTAATAAGCTCTTGCTCAGACAGTAAAGAGTCTGCCTGCAACACAGAGACCCAGGTTCCATCTCTGTGTCAAGATCACCTGGAGAAGGAAATAGCAACCCACTCCAGTATTCTTGCCTGGAGAATCCCATGGGTGGAGGAGCCTGCAGGCTACAGTCCGTGGGGGTGCAGAGACAGACACTGAGCCACTTCACTTTCTTTAGTAACTGTCTGATGTTTTTACTACCTTTCTGTTTAGAAAATGTAGAAAGAGTTTTATTTTTTTTTCCATTTATTTTTATTAGTTGGAGGCTAATTACTTTACATCATTGCAGTGGTTTTTGTCATACATTGAAATGAA